TGTACACAATAACAGCCATGTTGTGTGATGACTAATATTGATAAACTTAACCTTTTCTCAGCAATACAAGGATCTAAGACATCTCCAGAGGCCTCATGATGGAAAATGCTATCCACATCCAAAGAAAGAACTATGGAAGTTGAATCGCTATCATTTTTTTTCTCTTCTGTTGAGTTTTGTTTCCTCTTTCTGATGGTTCCTCCTATTGGTTTTAATTTTTACTTACAACTTCACTAATGTGAAAGTACATTTAATGGCAATGTAAATGTATAGCCTATATGAGATTGTGTGCCGTCTTGGGGAGGGTGGTGGGGAAGAAGGGGGAGAAAAATTTTAAACTCAAAAGCATATGAAAGTAATTGTTTGTAAATCAAAATAAATTAATAAAAATTTTTAAAAAATTAATTTCCCCCAGGGACACTCAGCTGAGAAGCAGTGGACCAAGGGCTTGAAAACAGGTCTCCTGTTCCAGAGTTCAGTGTTCTTACCACTTCTGCTTCTCTGTTAGAAGTATTATGAAAAAAGTGTAAGATTAAAAGGCCACTAACTGGCACAGGACACAGACAGCTTGTACTAGGAGTCAAGAAGATCTGAGTTCAAATATGGCTTCAGACTCTTCTAGATGTAACCTAGGTCACATCACTTAACCTCCCTAAACCTCAATTTTCTTATCTTTAAAAATGAGAATAATAATAGTACTGTGTGCATGCGCAGGTGCGCGAGCCCATGTACGTGCGTGCGTGTGCATGTGTGTGTGTGTGTGTGTGTGTGTGTGTAGTGTTTTATTATTGGCAAAGTATTTTACAAATAACTTCACATTTTATTCTCCCTGCAATCCTGGAAGACAGATGCTATTATTATCTTCATTTTACAAATGAGGAAACTGAGGCAGGCAGAGGTTAAGTAATTTGCCCAAGGTCACATAGCTAGTAAGTGTCTGAGAACAAATTTAAACTCAAGTTCAGGTTCTTGACTCCGGATCCAACATTCTATCTACCTAGCTGTCAGGGTTGTTGTGAGGACCAAAGAAAATAACACACATAAAGTACTTTGCAAAACTTAAAATGATATATAAATGCTAGCTATTGTTACTAAGATAAACTACTCTGGAAATAAGGGTATCCCAGGAAATCCCTATATTGACAGCAAAAACAGCAATCACTTCCTTCTCCTTTTTATAAACTACACTGTCCAAGGAGTAATTAGTATCCAACCTACACCATTCTTTAGAGTGCCTTGGCAGGTGTCACACAGCTTAATCAGTTGAGGAAAGTTCCCTCCTATTCCCAACCTGGTTTAGTTAAAGGAAAACAATTTACTTTTGAATAGAATTCCAATATATAATAAATTCAACTAATTAAAATTGTCACTCTATTAGTAATTTAAGTTAAAGATACTTTAATTAATAGACTTAATCTAATATAGGTTTAAATAGTTATGCTTTAATGCACTCTAATTTCATCATTGTCTGACTACATAGAAAGATAATTAGTTTGAAAGCTTATCTGAATGAGATCTTTTTTTTGTCATTTTGTATAATTTCTATAGTCCAGATCTCTCCCCTCCAGAGGAAGTTACCAAAATTATACACAACATAGGTCCTTTTTGCTTATTGTTTTACCATCTATAGAGTATTTCACGATATTGATTTTTCAATGAGAGGAAACATAGTATAGCATATACAGCCTTGGCCAGTCTAAGTATCAGAAAGACCTGGGTTTTCCCTGGCTGAGAGACCCCAGGAAATTCATTTACCTTTCAGTGCCCCTCAAGGCAACTCTCTAAGCCTATAATCCAATCTTCATTGGTAGAGGCAGTTTCCTTATTGAAGTTCCCTATAACAATGAAATCACAGGCGTGTAAAAAATATATAAGTGTATATGTGTATGTATGTACTTTTCCCCCACCTCCAAAAGGATCAGTTGTCTGATTTTGTTAGGCACTACTAAAATATGTGGAAGAAGCATTGTTTTCTCTATTTAAATTATTTCTTTTCTTTAAAAAACAATTTTCCCCTCAAGTTAGATTCATTCAACATTTATTGAGCATTTACTCTGTAGGAGGGCACTATAGAATGCACAGTGGGGGATAAAAAGATAATAAAAAGTCTTGGCCAAGTCCCTAACCACAAGTGAATAATGGAGAAGATAAGATGTGTAAACCAGTAATTACAATAGAAGACTTCAGTAAGTCCCATAGCAGAGATACTGATAAAATGCTATGAAATTTCAGAGAAGTGGATGGATCACCACCATCAGGAGCCAGGGAAGGCTTCATAGCTTCATAGCCAGTGTAGAGCAAGGAAGAAAAAAAGGAAATGATCTATATATCCAAACAACAATGACAAACATTAAGTACTTACTATGTGCCCTGGATAAAATAGCTATAACTACAAATACAAAAAGAAAGCGCCCCTGCCCTCAAGGCACAATTCTTTTATTTAAATTTCTTTTATTTTTAGGCAATTGGGGTTAAGTGACTTGCCCAGGGTCACACACCTAGTAAGTGTCAAGTGTTTGGTCTGAGGCTGGATTTGAACTCAGGTCCTCCTGACTTCAGGGCCAGTGCTCTATCAACTGCGCCAACTAGCTGCCCCTCTCAAGGCACAATTCTTAATTTAACATTCTGGGTTATAAAATAGATTGCCCTTCCAACAACGTAACTAATACAATGACTTACTAGACTACATCACATTCAGAAATATGTAAGCAGTATATTAAAAACTTAGAATAGACCCAATAAAGATCTTTCTTTCTTTCTGAATTCTTTCACTAGGTCCAGTCTCCTGGGGCCACTCCCACCCCACCAGACTGGCTTTTCTTTATTATCTACAGTAGCCCATCATTGTCTTTTTACTGGTCTGATATCCTCGGGCCACATCCTGATTCAACCACAATGACACTCCCAATCAGGAATTTGGTGGCTGGTAGCCTGGATTTCCCCCAGGCCCACTAGTCCCTGCCTTGAGTCTGGCCCACGTGGCCCATCCCTCAACAAACCCAATAGTTGGCCTAAAGAAGGCCTGGGTTGAAAAACAAATATGTATACATACATATATAGATATACATATATATTTTTTTATTTTTCCAATTTCTAATTGAGGTCCTAATATGAGAGAATACCTCATTAATTCCAAATACATATCAATAAGGTTTTTTTTTACAATAAAATATGTTTGTATCACAGGGCATACATTATAAAATTGTTCCCAAAATTGTAATAAACTTTGAAATAACCCATTATCAATTTAGATGAATGCACTCCTAATCACTTTGAAGAGAGAATAATTCATCTCATCATTAATATGTTGAAACTATAACTTTAAACCACCAAATATATATATATTTTTATATAATAGTCAAGATTTTAAATGAAAATCTCCTATCAGTCTTATAATCAAATATACCTCACTAGGTATTAACAGTTTCAAATTATCTCATCTTTATCACTAAAAGATCCATTCAAGAGTTACCTAAACACCATTTCTACCTCACAGTAGTTCCTCAAATTTTACAATCTAAGAGTTTTGGAAATACAATACAATTTAGAAACATAGTAATAACTTAAACAATAAACTTCAGATAACACCAGTTGCATTTCCGGATTATCACAAATAGAAAATTATCAATCTTATTATTCTTAGTACTTTCAACAATTACATTAACTAATAATGCCACATCTCATAACCATTTTTTAACAGTAAACTTAAATCCAATCAGATCTCAATTTATAATCATTAATAATAAACAATTAAAAACATTTTTGCTTTAAATCCAATACTCTTGGCCCTCTAAAAGGAAATTTCATCCACAAATTTATATATTCCCTTGGAAAGACACATGGTGACAATTCCTGCTCTAAATCCACCTTTTCTTTCCTGCTTCCTTAAGGGAACTAAGAAAAAAAGTCCCCTCTGCTTCTTAGAGGCTTATCAGATGGAATCTCCCTCCTGAAAATCTCAGGCTTCAGCAATTTGAACAGGACATAACCCTCTATAGATAATTGAATAGGGCCCTCCCTCTCTTCCTGGACTGCTTTTACAACCTCACTATGCATTCTGAACAATTCACTGGTCTTACAAAAAAAAAATTGTTTATTTTTTATTTTTTTTATTCCAAAATTTTCCAAACCTTTTACTCTCAAACCCTCTATTCACTCTCATTCACACAATGCATACAAACAGGAACACAAAACAGACATACAACAAATTGCTGCAGAGTCCTCACATCATATTTAATCCAAAAAATTTTTTTTTGTATCTTTCCCTTTTTATTTTGGTAGTTCATTCCAATCTTGGAGTCTACTCCCTAAAAGACTATCTTCTGGAATATCAAATGGCAGCTTCTGGTTTACTACTTCAGACTACGGTTTGCCCATAATTTTCTTACCTATATGCAATTACACAAATGAATTTGTCTGAGAGAGATTGCTCTTCTCTCTGAGTCAGTGACTCAACGATTAACTAACAGAAGAGGTTGCTCTTCCCCCTTACAGTCACCTGAATGCTCTCTGTGTCCCCAGAATTTAGTTGGGCCGGGTCACCCCCACCCCCAAGTCAGAGACTTAGCAGTTAGTTAATTTAGCTGAGGGTCATCACCTTCCCTCCAAGTCAAGGACCTAAGGAATGAAGGAACATGAGAGCCAGGGTCTGGCTGTAGGCATACAACTCAAGTGACTGATCCATTTCTTCACTCTATTTCACTCTATTTCACTCTATTTACCTGGCCAGCCGGCTTCACACAATCTTATAGCTGCCCTGCCTTTGTTTTCTCCCTTGAGCGTCTCTCTTCAAGACCTTACCCAAACGGAGGGAGACTCCCTAAGTCTGGTCTGAGGGTTGCCAGAGAAATCTAGGAGGGCGCCCTGACCCCCAGGGTCTAGACTGTAGTCTGCCTCACAGATGGGCAAAATCTCGGTGGGATGTCCAAAGCTGTGTGGGACAGCGACCCCAACCCAAATTAAACTCAGAGACTTCTCAAGGTGGAAAGCAAAGGTTACCTTTATTACAATCTTGAGAGATGGCTGTCTGCTCCTCCGATACACTGGAGAGAGAAAGAGAGAGACACCACCTAACAGGGGCCGCCTTTTAAAAGCAAATCTCCGCCCACCACTCAAACAAGTCTCCACCCACCACTATCCCTTATCCTCTTAACTGGGGGTGGGACTTACATTCTAACTGGGAGGTGGAACTTACATTCTAAGCTTGAAAGTTTCTTCCTATCCCCTTAACTGGGAGGTGAGGCTTACATTCCAGGCACGAAATTGAAAGACAAGGAAAGAGGCCTAAAGCCAAGGACAAACGGCTCAGGTTGGGGGTGGGGCAGGGCTTATTCTTTCTGTTAAGTGCTTAAAAACAGGGTCTGAGCAGGGGAGGATTTTGAAAGTAATAATCAAGAATTATTTGACCCTTTGAGGAGCCTTCACTTCTGAGAGTTCATTTCTCACACTACCTTCTGAACTCATTACCTTAATTACACTGAGAAGTCTTCACTGGGACATCTCATTCGTCTTGAACTTGAATTTAAACTCCATGGCCCTTAGTTTTCTCATCTGTAAAGGGAGGAGATTGGATTACATAGCTTCTGAGGTTTCTTCCAGCTCAAGATTTATGATTTAATGGTGCTTTGCTCATGAGTCAATGAACAAAGTACCTCACTGCCATAGAAATATGGCATGTGGAAATGTCCCTACAATGTTTAGTGGCAACAAGATAGAAATTAAGGACAGAAAAGTCAAGGTAAAAACAATTATTTTTCATAGGAAAAATAATATTTAGTACTATGATATTGACAGAAAATTGTTAACATAATTATTAATGTGACAGAAATTGTTAATACCAAATGTACTATGGACTGCCACTGCCTTAAATGTTTCTCCCAATATCAGAATTTCAGTAATGTTCTTACATTCCTATTCTTAAGATATTTACTCTTGATTAAGTTGAGTTGAACCACACCCTAGGTTCCCGTATCTTGAGATCTTGCCTTGCGGGGGAACCTGGCTCAAGCTGGATCTAGAGCTTAGATTTTCTTGCCTTTCCCAATGGATTCATGGCACAAAGAGTGAAATAACCAGAATGAAGTGGCTTTCCTTGCCCAGATTGCCAAGGGCCACTGGACTCTCATGACTAGGCCTTGCTACTTCATGTTGTCCCCCCTCTCTCTCTCTCCTCCTAAAACTATAAAAACCTTTTCATGGGTCACTTTGGTTGGGAAATCCAATGGACATTCCCCAGTGTGGCAGGTTTGCTACCCTGTTATCTCAATTAAAGACATTATTCTTCAACTCATGACTTTATTTTGTTTCAGGTCTTAACATTTTAGCTAACTACAACTATGAGAAGCCCTATCTTTGGCTTGCTCAAAAACATAAAGGAGATCCCTATTATAGAATTTGTTCATGTGCCTACTCTTGTATCATCCAACATTGTCATGGTGTCAGCACTGACAGCATAGAATGACTCACAATTTGCTGAGACAATTGCCCTCCCAAATGGAGATAGTGATCTGTAAGAGAATAGTGCCAGGTCCTAGAATTAGAAATTGAGTTTGAGAGGTAACAGTCCTGTGATATCAGTGGAGAAATATGTTTAGCATTTATTATATAACATACGATTAAATGTATTAAATGTATTAAAGTGTACAGAAGGGGCTTGGAAGTGATTGTTGAGGTTCTAAAGATCAAGTTTCTATTTTGAACTTAAGTCTTTATCTGTTTGGGGCCACAATTATGTCTCCCTTGACTTTTTTTTAAACCAAAATTTAACTTTCACTTATCCAAAACATAGATACCTATACTTGTCTCTTACATTCGTTTCCTTAAAAGTTGAATATAAGGCACTTTCTTCAGAGTAGTTTCTAATGTGTTTCAAAATAATATAGCAAGAGAAACATTTTATGGATATATCCATATTGACACATGTAATTTGAATACATATAATTTTTAAAACATTGCTTGTAATAAATTTATTAAAAACCAAAAAATAATAATATAGCAAGGAACTTTTACTTCATTTCCTAGGTTTTTTAATGCATACTTTTTTTAAAAAATTGAAATTTTTTCAATCAATGAAAATTTGTTTTCTCTTCTTCCTATCCCTCTATCACTAAGAAAGAAATAAAAGCAAACAAATTCCCACATTGTCCATAACCAAAAACAAATATGATCGCATCTGTATTCTGAATCCACCCACTTCTCTGTCAAGAGGTGGGTGGTATGTTTTTATTATGAATCCTCTGTAATCATGGTTGGTCATGGCATTAATTTCCTAAGTTTCCTAAGAGTCCCTAAGTCCTTCAAAGTTGCTTGTTTTCACAAAATTATTTTTGTATATATTTTTCTTATTCTGCATCAGTATATACCAGTCTTCTCCAGTTTCTCTGAAATCATCTCTTCCATCATTTATTACAACACAATCATATTCCATGACATTAATATACCATGACTTGTTCAACCATTTCCCAACTGATAGACATACCCTCAGTTTTCAATTATTTGCCGCCACAAAAATAGCTACTGTAAATATTTTTGCTATAGATTTTGTAGTCATGTTACTGGATCAAAGGACATTCATAGTTTAATAACTTTTTGAACATAGTTCTAAATTGTTTTCCAAAATGGCTGGACTAGTTCGTAGTTCCACTTCGAACTATAGTTCAAATAGTGCTTTAATGTGCCCGTTTTCTCACAGGTCCTTTAGAATTTGACATTTTCTTTTTCCAATTTTGCCAATCTGTTAGATTTAAGGGAGAGATATGATGGGTGTGAAATAGAACCTTAGAGCCTTACTTTTAAATATAAGACACGTATGGCCCCATCATGATATTAAATGGTAAATCTTGGTTTTGGTTTTGTTTTTACCATCATTCTTATTGCTTTTTTCATCTAGATAAAAAAGTTATATTTCAAATGTCTAAAAATAAATGTCAAAAATATAGAAAACATTGCCCTTCAGTTGCACCTTTTTTAAAGTTCTTTTACATCCTCATCCCTCTACAGAGACAGGACTCATAACTTTCTAACACCCTAATGCCCTTTGAGCAATATCATCCCATTTCCAATAGGAGTTGAGGGTGCTGCTATTAGTGGAGCTGCTGAGTAATGATTTTCAAATGTTTTTCACAGCTATCAAGTATGCATTCTTCTAGCTGAATATTTATCAACTTTTACAGACATGTTTTTGGTCTCTAACAATGGGTGGGGCTCCCACAGATTCTTTTGATGAATGATATTTTTCCAGCAAGATGGACACTGCTGTATAGGAAATCCAATCTTGCCAAAATAACTAGTTACTTTGCTTTCAAATACAATTTGCACAACATGAACAAGTTTCATGCTGGGATAAAAAGAGGTAATTTTCCCATCAGAGCATTAAAAGGACACTGAAGCTGGAAATTTACAAAGAAAAAAAACCAGACAGAATATCAGAGCACAAACTGACAATAGGTACAGGTCTTTATTCTATTACAGTGGTTTCCTGCTTAGGAATTCAAAGCATTCTTCAAACACTATTAACTCTCTCATCTTCTGAGGGTCTAAGATGGGCAAGTAGCCAGCTTCAATATTCCAAGCTTCAAAAATGAAGAAAGTGAGACTTGGATCACTGGTTTAAGACTGCACAAACCACTTCTCATTCTCTGACTTTTCTACCTATCCCACTATGCACCAGGCTAAGGAAGGCCTTCATTGTCTCTACCCATCTAGCTCCAATGGTGGCTTTCCCTTCACCAATTCCAAATTCTCCTACAATTGTACCCTTTCATTTCTGTAGCCAAAGATGTGACTTCAGGACAGTACTCTGACTGAATATGGTATGACAGAAGATGGTGAATATTGTCAGTGAAGTGATTGTCATTGATAGAAGTTCAAGAAGCTATCACTCCTCCTGAAAAGCCAACAATAACACAGAAAGTAGCAAATGCCAGTCTCCTCCCAAGAACTGGAGTCATTGCCAAGGGATGTCAATAACTATCCAAGAAGATCTGAGCTTTAGAACAAAACTGTTTCAGAAGGACTGTACAAACTGGTGAAAATTTTTGTCTGAATGGGATTATTTACCTGGCTGTAATTTTGTTCTATGACTTCTAAGGTCATAGATTTAGGACTGCCAATTCTGTCTTTTGCAAATGAGGAAACAGTTGTAGTGTTGAGTGACAGGCAGGTTGGTTTTGGTTTTTTTGTTTTTGTTTTTGTTTTTCAGTAAGTCGTTTATCTTGGTAGATAAATGGACCTGGTCAATAAATAGAATTGGGGAAAGGGAGGAGTTTTTTTTTTATTTTAAAATTTGCATATTAATTTCATATTGCCTGGTAAACTAGGAGGTATAATGATATTCCAATCTTAGGTTAATTCTCTTTTTTCCTGTCTCATAGACTCCTGCTTCTCGATCACAAAATCTCTTTTCCCCCCTATTTTCTACCATTTTTCCCACCAATTTTCCAAAATGTTCATATTCTTCATCTAGTAAAACCTACCTTGGCCCCCTAGATCAAAGTCTGCTATTTGCACTGGCAAAATTGATGCTTCTATCACATGCCTTGAGATGAATGTTCTGTTGTTGGTTCACAGTTAATTTGCGTTTCCAAATTTTTTTTGTTTTTTTTGTTTTGCTTTTTTGGCCAGGCAATTGGGGTTCAGTGACTTGCCCAGGGTCACACAGCTAGTAAGTGTCAAATGTTTGGTCTGAGGCCAGATTTGAACTCAGGTCCTCCTGACTCCAGGGCTGGTACTCTATCCACTGTACCACCTAGCCAATCAGTTAGTCAATAAACATTTATCAGGGGGCTATTTCCAGTTGTCCTAATGTGTATCTGGCCACTGGATCCAGATGGCTCTGGAGAAGAAAGTGAGGTTGGTGATTTTGCACACCATCCCTCACCTAAATTCACTTGCATGTTACAGCATCACCTCCATAATGTCACAGTCCTCTTCAAGAATGAAGAACAAACAACAACAAACATTTATTAAGTGCTTACTATGTGCCCTGGATACAAATAGCTATGACTACAAATACGAAAAGAAAGAGCCCCTGCCCTCAAGGGGATTAAAATCTAATGGAGGAAGATAAAATACAAAAGGAAGCTAAAAATGGGTGGTGGTGGTGGTAGGGAAAATGATGAAGTCCAAAGTAGTGCAGCCAGGTGGGAAATGAAGTGATGGCTGGTCTAGGGTGTCCTCCTTACATAGAGGTTCTCTACCCTCCAGAGAGGTCCTAGGAATACTAAGGGTACAGTGGCCTAGAGGATACATTAAGATGTGCGTAACAAAGTTGATTTGATCTTGCAAGATAATGATGAAGTCCAAAGTAGTGTAGCCAGGTGGGAAAAGAATACAGTATCTGGCCTGAAGGCCCTCCCTAAATGGAAGTTCTCTGCTTTTCATTTAGAGGGGTCCCAGGGTAGAGAGCGGCAGGTAGGTGATGCAAGGGCAGGTAGGTGGTGCAGTAGATACGGTGCCAGACCTGGAGCCAAGAGAACCTGAGTTCAAATCTGGCCTCATACTAATTGTGTGACCCTAGGCCAGTAACTTAACCCTGTTTGCCTTAGTTTCCTCATCTGTAAAATGAGCTAGAGAAGGAAATAGTAAACCACTCCAGTATCTGCCAAGAAAACCCCAAATAGGATCATGAAGAGTCAGACATGACTGAAAACAACTGAATAACAGGTGTAGATAGTATTGATGAGCTATGAGTACTAAGGCTGATTTGACACAAATGTTATACTACTCCATAAAAAAAAGGATTGGACAAGTCATTGGTAACATCAAGAATTAAATCTTCTTCTGTTGATTCCTGATAACACTCAACCTGCACTCATTTTCAATGTTCTCTTAATATACACACTGAAAAATAGTTATTTCAATGGATCCATGATGATTGGCAATGCTAATCCCTGTACCAATATAGATTGAAACCTACCTATATCTTTTCATCCTGTACAATCCTTGCCATTTCTAAATGTAATTGTTGTTGTTGTTTGTCCTTTGTTCTAGAAAAGGACCAATGACATCATGGGGTAATGTCTTGACTCATTTGTGAATTGGATTTAAGTGAGTCAGAATTGCAGAGTTATCACCCTCTCTCTTTCAGAGTCATTGAAGTCCAGTGGCAAGACAAAAGTCAAGATGACTGGCATTGGCTTGGGATGCAGTGCAAAAACCTTTTTGATGTATGACCAGGCTCTAAGAGCTCCACAGCACCTGCTTTAGCAGCCTTCATGGCCATTAGAACAAATTGTTCTCATATGCCCATTCAGCCAGGGGAAGTCTTCACATGCTTAGGTAGACATCTCTCTCATTCACTGATGGGTTTGAGGCCTGGTAGTTACCCTCAACCTGGTTTAGCTCACCTGCAGAGACAGTTTATACTACGTATACTACAGCTTCTTGCAGCCACAGGTGAGAGTTGAGTGAAAGGTGGACACCAAAGGTGGATGAGCAACTCTGAAAAGGGCTCAGCAAGCCCTTACACCAAAGGTGCTGTTCCTCCTAGAACACCAATACACCCCCATTTCTAAATGTAAATCTCCCTTAAAGGATCCATCCAATACAATGATTCTGTTCATGTTTGGGGGCATTAGGAAAGAACTTGAATTGCTTGTCTGTTATGCTTTAGTCTTCCTATAGGACTAGCACAATTCTTTTCTAGTTAAACATATCTACAACCTGTTTTGGGATTGGTATCACCAGATTCAATTTGGGGACTAACAAAATTCTCCCCACTGTAGTTTCTTCTGGGAACATTAGAATTTGATGATTTTTTTTTTCCCTGAAAGGAAATGTTCAAGCATTCAGTCTAACAAGCCATGAAATATAGGTCAAGTTTTATTTAACCCCCCAAAAATGCTCAAGACAAATAGAAAAGCCCATAAACCATTAAGACAACTCACCCTTCTGTGATTCCACTTCCTGCATGACTTCAGGTGGCCATTTAATCTTCTTGCACTTTGTTTTCCTTATCTACAAAATGAGTGGATTGAACTAGATAATTTCTCCAGTTCTTTCTAGCTCTAAATTTTTGATCCCGCAGGTACCTACACTACCACTCTGATGTATAGCTCCTCACCAGGTTTAAAGCCCACTATTCTATACCATGCTTGGCAAGGGAGTGGGAAAACAACTTTCAAGGCTACTAAGGAGTCAAGAAACCTTTCCCTATGATGAGCCACATCTTCTCAGGGCATTGTTCCAGACTTAAAATGCCACCCTGATCATTGCCTCTTCCTCCACTCAACTTTTTGCTAAAAGAAAGGAAGTGGAATGCAAAAGGCTGGATCAATATCTTCTGTACATCCATGCAGTCATCGGCTCCTCCAGCTCAGCAACCAAAGTAGAGGCTCTCGGTCATCTCAGAGTGCAAGCCTTTTTGATCCTGAGGCATACATGCCAAGAAGCCAACCCATAGGTCCTAAAGAAGCAAGAAGGACAGCTCTGAGCACAAGCTATAGAAATGACCCTTGTATGCCTCTTCAACCTCATTACACAAGGTTAAAGATTTTTACCACTTCCAGGTTTTCAGACTATCCAGATATCTTGGTATAACCTTGTACTCTGTGTCTATCTTTTCAGCATTGCTATGGGTACTTGTACCACATTCAGAATGGCATTTTTCTTTCTATAAATAAAACTATAAAAACATACAGAGTCTTCAGTTAAAAAGAACACCTTAGAAGCTCTTCCTTAAAGAGATAAAGAATTGAGGGAATAGGAAGTGGCACGACATTAAGGAAAGAATCCTGGAGTTGGAGTCAGAGGATATGGTTTTGAATCTTATCTTCATTTTCTACCCATGTGACCTTGGACAAGTCATTTAATCTACCTTGGATACAATGCCCTCACCTGAAAAATGAGGGAATTCAATTAGTCAACCCATGAGATCCCTTCTAACTTCAACTCTGTTATCTTATGAGTTGGTATTGTGATCAAAAGCAAAGAGAAATATTATTTAATGGAACATTTGGCCATCTTACTTTATAATGTTCACGCTAAGCAAACAGACTGCCATGAAACTCATTGTAGTGTTTCCGCCGACAACTATTCCAAACAAGGAAGAAATAAAGAGATATTATAAAGAAGTTGACAAGCCCTCTAAATCAGATTAACTAGCTGTGATCCATGGCCTAAAGCCCTAGCCCTCTCCAAGGGCTCTGAGTTCACAGTTATATTTGAAGCTGGAAGCTGACTCCAAAGGATCTGTATCTGTCTCTGTCTCTGTGTGTCTCTCTGCCTCTCTGTCCCTGTCTCTATCTTTCTGTCTTTGTCTGTCTTTGTCTCTGTCTGTCTGTCTGTCTGTATCTCTCTCTCTCTCTCTCTCTTTCTCTCTCTCTCTCTCTCTCTCATTTTTCCCATGTGTAGATAACAGGATCCCTTGTTCCCACACCAGTATTTAATATATAGTACGAGTACTGGATATAGGGACAACTTTTTATTTCATCCTTCACAAAATGCTTTCATCTCAAAAGGACTTTCAGGAGTTCTTAAACAGGTAAACGAAGTATTCAAATAGCCCATCAACTTCCTCAAAATGGAACAGAACTTGGTTTGTTACAAAGGAAAACTTTTGTCATTCAGGTGAGTCCCCTTTTCTCAGTTTCCTTCAAGGTCCCCCACCTATCCCCTAAGACTTATAACACCATCCTCTGGGTTATATTATTTCCCATAAAATAAACAAATTTGGGGGGGTAATAGATGAGGAATCCCCTTCTCATTAGACCTACACAATCAGAATAACTCAAAATTCAAGTAGGATGCCACACAGGATCTAGGTGGAATAACCATTTATTTCTCCAGGGAGCATATGATTTTATTCTCCAAGCAGAAACTTGTGAAGAAATTATACAGATTGTCATCTTCTTTCTCCAAGGAGCATGCTATATCAGGAAGTCCCCAGAGGAATTAGGGTTCACTAACAATTAACTATCCCCCTCAAGCTGTGTGTGAGCATGTGTCCACCTCTTCAATGTGCTTCTTTTTTTCTTCTTCAGTTTCATTATCTTTTTTTTGTTATTTTGAACTTGAGAAATACAAACACGAGCATTTCCACATATACAGAAAAAACTTACAGTATGTGAAACCACAAATCTATATTATGTGTAGCTTGCGTTAAAAAAAATTAAGTTCATTTCAAAACTATCCTGCTTATCTAGCTTCTTCTGTATTTATGTTTTCTTCTAAACATTTAAAGTTAGTTACCATTTTTCTTTTTTCTTTTCTTTTGTATCACTATGTCTAGTTCATTCTACCCAACTACACCCGAATTTTAAAAATTTAAATAAAAAAAAAACCCAACTCCTAGCACATAAGCAGTCATTTAAAATAAATCTACCTATTGCCATACCAGAAAATGTCTAAATAAGTCTAGACAAGTCCTTCATTATGTCATGAGCTTCTTCAGGAACTCTACCAGTTCCCCAGCTGCTAATATACCTTGAGCATGGAAAGTCTATTCTCATGAACTCTAGTCTCTGACCTATGCTCAGAAAAGGAACCAGAAAGATAGAAACTGGAGTTTCATGAACTCCCCTCTCTGGCCACCTGGACAAACAGAAGGAGCTTGCTATATACACTATTACCTACTACCATTATTTGCTCTTGAAGAAAATTGCATATGGACTTTGGCTTTTTTCCTCTTTCCCATCCTTCCTCCTCAGAGAACAGGTTCACTTTGCTATATATAGTTAAATGAAGAAATCATTTATTAAGTACTATGTGCCTGGCACTTTGCTAAGCACTGGGAATTCATATATAAGCCAAAACAAACACACAAACAAAAACAAAAAACCAAGACAGCCCCTACACTCAAGGAGCTTACATCCTAATGGAGGAAAACAACATATAAAAAGGAGATATAAGGGAGCAGGAGGTGGGAAATGGAGAAAGTTGCTGGGGAAGAGGTGGAAAATTCCGGACAGTGAAAGAAAGAGTGGAGCTGGGAATGAAGTGAGCATGGCCTGGGCACCTGAAATGATGGTTCAAGACAGGGACTTCCAATTAGAAAAAAAGAACCTCAGGGCAGATGCCATCTCCATAGTGAGTAGGCTATTTGTGAGGTGGTGGAAAGATCTTCAGAGTAAGTAATGGAGGAAGCAATGCTATAATCCAGTCTGGAAGGCTAAAGTAAAGAGAACCCATCAAAAGCTTCAGTCACTGGGAGCCTAAGAGAGGAATTTCCTATGTCTTCTCAGCAAATGTCCTATATCTACCCATGAGAGGAGCCCTTTAGACAAAACTTCCATACCCTATAATCATTTTTATCAAGTTCATTGAGGAGCTCTGCAAACTGACAAAGGGCTCACCTGATCAACCCCACCTTACAAGAAAAATGCAGAAAAGAAAAATCGAATACCTAAAACCAAGAAGACAATCACTTTGAGTAGATTCTTGTGGGAATTATGTTACTAAGTTTCCTGTTTTTCTGTGGTCATGGTTCTTCCTGAGAAAGTTACATTCCATTTAAAGTTTGGAACACTGAAGTTGTTTTCTCATAACTATTTTGAATGCATTTTTTTTGTTATCTTTTTTTTTCCTCTAAGGAAAAAGTCCCATGAGATTTCAGTAACTGGACCATTAGGCTGCGGTATTTGTTAGATGTGAAGGAGAATTAAGAACTGTATTTAACCTAAATTTTTCTACATCCATAATATGAATGACTCCACATTAAACTCTGCTGCTTTAAGATTTAAAGATTCCTGTCATCCAGAACCATGAACAATTATAAATATAAATTAACAAGAATATATATATGCATATATATATACACACATATATAGTGTGTGTATATATATATATATATGTATATATATATATGTATATATATATATATGTATATATATATATATATATATGGAAAGTCTATTCTCAAACTTAAAACCCCCAGTAAAATTATGTTCTATGTTTCTTATATTTTGGAGGTGACTCTGGGTCCTCAAGGACATTCTAGTGAATTGCAAGGTCTGGAAAGTTCTACCAAGATGGAAAAGCTCACATTTCTATTTCATTTCAAGGTTTACAAAATTACTTTCTTCAAAATAACCTAGCAAAGTAAGTAGGATATGTAATATTATGCTTCCATTTCACAGATGAGAAAACTGAAAGTCAGAGAGGTTAAATGACTGACCAAAGTCACTCAAGAGTAAATGGAAAAGCCAGAATTGGAACTTAGATCATCTACCTCCAAATTCAAGACTCTTTTATTTATGTCCCACTGACTGGTTGTGGACTATGTTGCCTCAGCACCAGCTAAGCTGAATTTGGAGAGGCTCATCCCCAAAGCTGGATGCTTAGTGATGAATATTTTTGACCTAGGCAACTAGGTGGTGCAGTGGATAGAGTACAAGACCTGGAATCAGGAAGACCTGAGTTCAAATCCAGCCTTAGACACTTATTAGCTGTATGAGCCTTGCTGAGTCACTTAACCTATTTGTGCCTTGGTTTCCTCATCTGTAAAATGAGGACAATACATTATCTACCTTCCAGGATTGTTGTGAGGATCAAATGAAATAACAATTGTAAAGTGCTTAGCACAGTGCCTGGCACATAGTAGGTGCTATATAAATGTTAGCTATTTTGATTTTTATTTTTAATCACAACAATTAGACTGTCTTCTAAATCTTATTGTGTGTCTGTTGAAGGAATCCTACATTGACAAAATCACAGAACTTTTTAGTATACGCCAGAATTTAAAAGCTAATTTTCATTCCTTCAACCTGAGTTTATTCAATGCACATTAGTATTACGAGTCACTAAATATTAATGTGCCATTAAAACTGAAACTCTTTACATAATTGGCTAGAAACTATAGAATTTATCCAGTTATTTGAATCATGCTCCATCGCCTTGAGCAATTTATCTTAGTTTTTTAAAAAATAAACTATTATGTACTTGAGCAAAAGGGGATTTTGGTGTAATTTGATGAAATTAACAGAGGAATTAATAGAGTTCTATTGATAATTCATTGATTATTAACAAAATATGCCAAATAGGCTTCATTATTTGCTTTTAAATCACTAAATTCCAGGATTCCAAAGTACACAGAAAGGTACTCATATATTCTATTCTACTCCATAGCTTTATGTACATATGTATGTATATATGTATACATATATATATGTTTTGCTTGTTTGTTTAATTGTTTCAGTCACATCTGACTCTTCATGACCTCATTTGGGGTTTTCTTGGGCAGAAATACTGCAGTCGTTTGCCATTTCTTTTTCCAGCTCATTTTACAAATGAGAAAACTGAGGCAAATAAGGTTAAATGACTTGCCCGAGGTCACACAGCTAGTAAGTGTCTGGGGTCAAATTTGAACTCAGATTTCTCTGACTCCAGGCCTGGCACTCTACTGCCTGGCTGCCTGAATACATGTGTGTACACACATGTGTGTATGTATGTGTACA